TGCTCTCTTCGATCCGGTGGCTGCGCCCAGGCCGCCCGGGTGCTGAGGGCTCGGCCTGCGTGCACCGGCACAGGACCGCGGCGGGGGCCTCCAGGCTCCGTTCTTCGGAGGAGCCGCTTTCCCGCGCACAGTTGGCCAGGCATCCCTGAGGTTGGGCTGCTCCTGAGCTCCACCGCTGTGAGAACTCTGGGCCAGAGCGGTGCGCTCGGTACTTTGTTCCAAGAATCGATGCCATCAGCCTCGCGCGGTGGTGCACACCTGTAATCCCCAACACAAAGGAGGCCGAGGCAGTAGGATCGTGAGTTCGAGACCAGCCTGGGCTACATAGGAGGACCTAAGTTTTTGTTGTTGTTACAGGGGATTGAACCCGAACCCGGGACCTTGTGCTTTCGAGGCAGGCGGTGGCACCACTGAGCTAAATCCCCGGCCCCTAGGACCCTTTCTTTAAATAAAAAAAAAGCCAACCATGGTGGCACATACCTGTATTCCCAGCACTAGGGAGGCTGAGACAGGAGAATTGCCGTGAGTTCAAGTCTACATAGGGAGAACCTGTCTTTAAAAAAAAAAAAAAAAAGGAACTCATTAGTTCTGGGTTACTGTGACCTTGAGTAAATCACATCTTCAAGTATTCCCTTCAGTTGGTATTGATCGAGCCCCTTCTCGGAACTAGTAACAGACACTGGGTACTCAGCAATGAATAAAACTGGTCCTGGCCAGGGATTTAGCTCAGTGGTGCCTCCCAAGGTCCCGAGTTAAATACCCGGTAACAAAAAACAAAAAAATGGCCCAAATGGGCTGGAGGGGCATAGCCCTGGGTCCATCCCTGGTAAGTGCTATTGAGGGGAGATGAGGAGGGAAAGATCAGCAGGTACAGTCTGGTAAGTCAGTGTCTGAAGAAGACTTGCAAGGAGTGACTGGGCAGCCAGACAGAGCAAGCCGGAGGCATGCTGGGAAGAAGGGCAGGGCAGGAGAGGGAGCAGCACAGACAAAGGTCCTGTGGCAGGGGGTGCCAGGGAGACAGCAAGGAGGCCGGTGTGGCTAGAACCTAGTGAGGAGGAGGAGCTGGTTTCTGGAGATAGTGACCCCAGGTCAGGCCAGGACAGAGAGGCTCTGGAAAGCCTGTTTGGCTCTTATTCAGAGGTGGAGCCTCTAGAGGCTTGGGGCTTCACCTCCAAATAATTACAGGCAGGCCCTACTCTGCCCACCCGGCTGACTGATACTTTTATTCAATCATTCAGCAGAGGAGCAGCACAACAGTTTCACACTCACCCTGACTACTGTACTGAGAACGAACTGTAGGCGTTTTGGGGCCAGAACCCAGGAGATGCGTGAGACACTGCTGTACTAGGTCAGTGTGCCCAGGGCGTGAGAAGGCAGAGCCAACAGAGTTTCAGGAGGAGAGGAACTGCGGATGCTGCTGAGGGCTTTGGCTGGAGAAGGGAGCTTTCTTTAGTGAACTGGGGAAGAGCGTGGGCACTGCAGGTGGGCACATGAGCAACACCCAGGTGGGGAAAGCGAGGGGCCGCTGGATACAAACATCTGTGATGTGGGGGACCAGCTCTGGCTGGAGCTGGGAGCTGGGAACCCTTGTGCTGGTCCTGAAGTCCTGGCCCCAAGCACACACTGCCCATGCGGAGTGCAGCTTCCTGCCTCTCCCAACCCTCGGAAGGTGCTTGTGGGTGAACACAGCCACTCCAGCTCAGAAACCCAAACAGATGGTGACCTGGAGCCCATCCCCTTCAGGCCAGTGTAGCAGTAAAGCATAATTTACATCCAGAAGCCCACCTTGGTGACGCCTGGCTGTCACCCCAGCACTCAGGAGGCTGAGGCAGGAGGACTGCCACCAGCAAAGCCCCGTCTGGGCTGCATAGTGAGTTCGAGGTCAGCCTGGACTACAGAGAAAGACTGTGTCAAAAAACAAATGTAGGATTGAGCTCAGTAGTTCCCCGCCTGTTTTGCCAGCATAAGTGCTATTGAGGGAGACGAGGAGGGAAAGATCAGTAGTTCAATCCCCAGTACCAAAAACAAAAAAACATTTACACGTGGTGAACATTTCCCTTGAGTCTGACCAATGCGCACAGTCCTGTCACCGCCACTCAGGAGGACCTGGGACTGGAACATGGAATGTGGCCCCCTCCCAGGAAGGTCCCCCTGCCCTCACTTCCCTTCCTCCTCCAGCCCCCAGGAACCACAGACTCAGTTTCTGTCCCTGTGGTTTTGCCACTGTTCCCCAATTGTCATAAGGACGGGACTGCATAGCACCTGGCCTTTCAAGTCTTTCCTCCTCAGCGGTGTTTCTGCAGCCGTCCCTGGTGCCTTCGGAGTCTCTGCTTCTCACGGCCAAGTCCCTTGTGTGGGTTCACCTCAACTTATTTATCCATTGATCACGGTTACATATTTGAGTTGTTTCCAGTTAGGGGCCGTTACAAACTCCTGTGAATAGTTGGACACAGGACTTTGTGTGGACAGAAGTGTGAGTTTCCCCAAGGGATGTGGTGCGTGCCTGCAGCTCAGCACTCTGGAGACTGAGGCAGGAGAATCGTCAGCTAGAAAGTGAGTTCATTGGATCCCAGGTACCAAGAACTAATAATAAAGTGAGTTCAAGGCCAGCCTGGGCTACTTAGCAAGCCCGGTGACAAAAAACAACAAAAAAAAAGGAAAACAAAGCATAGCGAAACAAAAAAAGAAAGTAAAAGAGGCCCACCTCACTTTGGAGCTCTGATTCCTTCTCCCCAGGGCGAGGCTGCGGAGATTGCATCAGGCCCTGGAGGAATTGTTCCCGGATGGAAACCAGCAGTAATCAGGCCCTTGGGAAAGTGGAGAGGCCAGAGCCTGAACCTGGAGGACCTTGGCATCCCCAGGACCGTGGCACCTGGAGCAGACAGTTGCGCAGGCTGGGGCGGGAGCCGGGCCCACAGCTCCTCTTTCACCTGTGGTTATTTCTAAGCAACAAGACAAACGTGAGTTCCTCACACAAATTTAGAACAACTAGGAGAAAAATAAAATCACTTGTTTTATTTGAGACAAGGTCTCATTTTGTATTTCAGGCTGGCCTTGAACTTGCAGAGATCCTCCTGCCTCAACCTGCCAAGGGCTGGGATTACAGGTGTGCACCACCACTGATGGCTATAAAATCACTCTTGTTAACACCTTGAGACAAAGGGACTGGTGGTGCATAGACCCTTGCCTAGCATGCTTGAAGCCCTGGCATCTTCCATCCCCAGCACCACAGTCATAAAACACACCTAAAAAAAAAAAAAGGCACTGGTGACTTTCACCCAAAACTCATTTATGACCTACATTTCTCTCCCACCCCACGTCCAAACACAACAAACAAGAGTTAGGAGGGGAGCAAGGTGAGGGACACTCAATACACAGAGCCAATCGGAAAAGTGCTGTTTTCCAATTGAATTTAGTGCTCTAAGCAGGACCAGTCAGCACACGGTTTTTTTCAACCCTTCATTTGCATGTGGACACAACCAATCAGAAGACACCATCCCTGGCCACAAGCCACTGGAGCTTTTGATAGGTGAGTGTTTCATAGGAAGATTGCTTTATTTGTGTGAGGAGATAATTTGGGATCTTTTTTTTTTTTTTTTTTTTTTTTTTTTTTTTTTTTGAGACAGGATCTCTACGTAGCCCAGGCTGGCCTCGAATTCCTGAAGATCCTTCTGCCTCAGCCTCCTGACTGTTGGGACTGCACATCTGCACCACCACATCTGGCTACCTTATTCCATTCCTTGAGTCTCTCATCCACTTGGGTTAGGTGGGATCTTGATTTTCCAAGGGAGTCTCAGGAAGGAGCACAGAACATAATGAGAGTGTCTCTCTATCATGTAAATATTATTTACTTGATTATTTACTTAAAATGTGCTCAAAGATGTGGAATTTCTGGGTCAAAGATGTTTATCTCTAAGGGTTTTGAAGGTTACATTAAAACAGAGGTTTCCCAAAGGTCCCATGGAGTTTTAACCTACAGCAGTGATTGAGACTACTTTCCTCCCAGTGTCCGTGACCAGGCTGCTATTGCCCTATAGGAAAAAGTGGCTAGGGCCTGGGTGGAGATCCAAGTGTGGAACATGCCACTGCCCTGGATTTGATTGACAGCCCTCCTAAAAGAAGAAGAGAAAAATGTGGCCAGTGACATAGGTGAAAAAGGATTTCTTAGCCCAGTGTAGTAGAGCACTCCTGTAATCCCAGTACCCTGAAGGCTGAGGCAGAAGGGGAATCACAAGTTTGAGGCCAGCCTGGGCTACATAGTGAGTTCAAGACCAGCCTGGACTATAGAGTGAGACCCTGTCTCAAAACAACAACAACAACAAAACACAGTATGTCTATAAATTGAACCTGCACTTTTCTTCCAAGATATCTACCATCAAGGAAACAGCACTATGAATTGGGTGCCATATTTTAAAATTTAAACACGGGCTGTCCTAGTTACTTTTCTTCTTTCTGAGACAAAATATCCGAGATCCACAAGTTAAAAGAGGGAAGGTTTATTTCAGCTCAT